CACAAGAAGTCTCAGGTTCATATCAGAGAGGTATTTTCTTACAACAGCCAGCTCAGAAAAAGCACTCTGGGTTACAAAGCACAGACCATCAACCTTTCACGTTCTCCTGTATCCACCCACTTCCTTTCTCAATCTGTCTTTGCATCCCCCACTTTCACCCTCACCCTGACCAGGTAGTGATTTTTACAGCAGGTGTTACTCATCCCCCCTTAATTCTAGTCAGGGCTGCAATCAGCCCTTCATTAGCTCTGGGCCAGGGCAGCTGGGAATGTTGTTTCTCCTCCACCAAAACCCTCATGCTGCAACCTGTGTGTGGAAAGGAACTTGGTACCCACCATCTGCCTGCTATTTTGTGTCGCTGAAGTTTGTTGTGCAGAGCTGGCTGACACACTGGTAACACCAATGCACCACTGTGGCTACAGGCACCTCATGCACTGTCTCGTTGCCACAGGGCCAGCACACTTCTGGAACACACAGTGCTCCTGTTGTTGTCGGAGTGGACTGGCATGACAAAGTTGTGGTGGCGAGAACACATTTTCTGCGGAAGAAACACATTGCAGGAAAGCCCTGAGCGAACTCCTTGTCATCTATCATAAGCCCCGAGGCATGTGTTTTGTTAGCAGAGTAGACAACAAGATGCTTACAGCACTGTATGTAATTGGAAAAAAAAAAATCTACACTGCGAAATGTTAGCGTTGTCACAAGTGAGAATCAGATAAGCACGTGTGAATCCTTCCGAAACTCAGTCATCCTCCCTGTTACCAACACCACAAATCAAAAACCTGGCCTGCTGCTGTGCAACTGGAGCATGTTCAGGAACGAGCTGGGCAAGGGTTCACCAGCCCTGATGGGAGAAGCTGTGCAAGATGCACTTGTTGAGACTGGGGAAGAAACAGTTCCCCTTAAACTACCAGGGGCTTATTGAGAAGATGGATCCGGGCTTTTACCTGAGGTTCTCTGTGGAGGAAAAGGGACAACGGACATAAATTAAAAAAAAAAAAAATCAACAACAACAACAAAAACACAACCAAACAAAACAGGTTTTAGATAAAGCAAGTAATTTTCACTATGAGAATAAATTAAGGAATAAGTTACCCAGAGTCCTTTGAGGTTTTTAAGACCGAGCAAATCTGTGAGCACTCTGATGTGGATTCGGTGTGACCCTGCTTTTGGTAGAAAACCCCTGAGGAAAGTCCTAGCTTGAGTGTCCTTGTGATGCTGCTAACCAGCCTTCGGAGTCCTTCCCAGAGCCAGGCAGAAGCCAGCCGCTGGATGTCACCCTGCGCTCACCGAACAGCGCCGCTCCCACCGGCAAACAAGGGATCGGATCCCACGGCAGCGGGAAGGCTTGCTCAGTTACAAGCCTCTTGCTTAAGGTAATGACTTATGAGTATTACGCTTCTTCAAAGACATCCTTGTTGAAAAGTACACAACAGGTTAGTTTAAAGGCTTCTGAATCCCTGCCTGAGGTTGAAGACTTAATACTAACTTCAGACTAATAGATGCCATGAGTTAAGAGTGCATTTCAAGGCCACATCGAGAGTTCTACACAACCTTTTTGAAATGCAAACCTGACATACACCTCAAGCTGTGCATATGTTTCCCCTATGCTGTGATAAAATGAACAGAAACAGACCTTGAGCTCTTGTCAAGTGTACCTACGACTGAAACAATAATGGTGAAACTGCTGTGATTTCCAAAGAGGAAACTGCAAGGACAATAATCACCGTAGGGGAAAAAGAAAGATTCTAGAAAATCAAAAGCATCCTCCAATGCCCCCTAGCATTTGTATTGATTCTCCTCTCCTCCTGAAAGTCAGCTCCTGTTTATTTCAGCCAGGTACACTGCAGCATGAACACTGAGGGGTCTGAATGCCAAGCTGTGTTCTTCCAAAATGAGCTTCACCTAAAACTGTGAAATGCAGGAAGCAGAACTGAGTTCAGTTTAATCCCATTCAAAGCATATTTACACCAGAGAGACTTACAGCAATTCAAAGGCTATCAGCTTTATTAACAAGTAACAAGGCATACGCAGGCAAAAAATTTCTAAAGAACAAATCCTATGTGGGACTGTGTCTCCATCCCAAATCACTCTCTTTAAATGAAAATTTTCTTGTTTTGAAGAAAGATTATTTGTTCCAAAACCATCTATTATGGGCTGGGCTCTGTGTCCAGGGAGGGTGCCCAGGTTTCCTCCCAGCAGCTTTCCCCGGTAGCAGCTGAGAGACTGCTTGACTGCTTTCAGTGCTGTTCACAGAAGAAATCAATGTCCTGAAAAAGAGAGTTAAAAGGAAAGATGTTTTGAGATAACTGAAGGATTAACATTCCTTTATCACCCTCCCAAAGGTACATGAGTACATGCAAACACAGAATACATTATAATATTAGCAAAGTACACCATAATATATTCAAAGCATTCTGGAAAAGAAACAGGCCTTTTGTCTTTTGACTCTTTTGCATAGCTCAGATAATTTGTTCCTGCCTTGAATTCTTAAAATTAATTAGACAATACCTCCTTCTCTCTTAATTTCAAATGATTCCTTTATCTCCCTTTTTTGTTTTGTGTTTCTACATCCATACCTGGATTGATTAGTCATATGTAACCCTTTATCCTCAAACAATTCCTAATCCCACATGAAAAGGATGACACAGACTGAGGCTGTGCAGCACGGTTGCTACGGAAAAATGCTGACTAGAAAACAAATGCCAATATTCTGCTTGAAAACTTCTGGCATGGAATAGACTTCCAGAGCATATTGCTTCCTTCCTGCTATTACCTTATAAACCTACACAGATCTTGATTCTGTTGCACTGAATTATCACACTGTGGGTGCTCATTCCCATTCAGTGTATCCCAAATAGCTGCCCACTGCAAGCAGGAAGACAGGGAGCTGTTGCAGAACAGCTGCTTACTGGTAATGAGAGAGCTCTCATTTTAGCCAGCAAATGGCCAATTTTAAGTGACTGAGGGAAGGCAGGCAATCCAACACCACTCTGTAGTACACACAGCCCATTGTGCTCAGTCCATTGTAGTCAATTTGATTCAATGGTTCAGAAGTACAGCACTGAGAAAAAAAAAATCTCCTAAGATTTATTGCTCAAACAGCAACCAACAGGCATGGATTACCTAAGTGCTGCACAAAAGGCTGCTGAGACAAGTTCACAGGCAGGTTTATTTTAGCAAGGTCTGCAGCTAATGGTATGCATTGACTCCAACAGTGAAAGTTACTTTTTGGGAAGAAAAAAAAATTAAAAAAATAAAGGGAGGGTCGGAGACACAGAGGCTCCCAAGCTGATGCTCTCTTTCAAGCTTCAGGTGCTCCCCATAATATATTTCTCCATTGAGTTCCCAATCACTCATTTCTTCACATGGTGCCATTTGGTTTGTGCCATCCAGTGCCTTGATCAGGGCAGGTGCTGGGTGCTGATTTATTGTTAAGCTGTGGGCATCACCAGATCTCCTCATATAAATATGAACCCCTCCCTAAGAGAGTTCGGTGTACATCAGTATTGGGCTTTGCAGGTGCAAGGCTGGGAAAACAAGGCAAAAACACAGAGAAGATTACGGACTGCGAGCGAAAGACTGGCTCCCAACTTGCAGAGGGAAGGCTGGTGGCATCTGTGGAGGTGTGCAACACTAGCTCTGTGCAGAGCAGCTCCTTTAAGGGTTATTTCTGGAGCAGGCAGCATGCCCACAGATGGGTCAAGGTATGCTATAGACTGTTTTAAATGTGAGCAAAGAGTCAGATCCTGAAGGTCCCGTTTGCAACGTACAGCTGAGATCAGCGGGACATGAAGAACATCTCTGTATCGCCTCCTGTTTTCCTCGCAGTGTTCCTGCACAGCAAGGAGCAGTGAAGGAAGGGTGAAAGAACTGGAAGTCTGTGTCAATCGTTTTGTGAAAGAAATGACTCCCCAGTTAAAACTCAGTATTGCAGCCTGACAGGATTCCACTGTGGAGCCTGAGTCAGCCTGCAGGCTAAGGCAGTGCTTAACCTACTCTGCTTCCAGTTCGGCTTGCCATGCAGCAGACTGGCTGTCATACCATTGAGAAAAGAGCTTAGAAACATACTTTAGTTATTTGTTCATGTTCTTCGACTAATTAATTGCTGCAATGCTTCTGGGCCAAATTCAGAATAACCCAGTGCAGCGTCAAGAAAAGCAGTCACTGGATAAATCTTGGATAAGGGTGTGTGTTTCCTCAAACAAAACTTGTCTGACACACTGTAACACAGATCCTCACGATTACTAACCTGAAACAAAATTCTTCCTTTCACTTATTTCCTCTGTGTTAATCAAACCCACCTAATAATCTGGACCTAGGATTAAAAACTCCAGATAGAGTTTCCAGATTGACGCGCTAATTGTATTTTGCCATATGCCACAAAACGGTGTATAGCTAAATATTCAGTATGGATGAAGGGGAGAACTGTATATCTACCACTTGATTTGGTTTTCAGCACAGATAAACTACCAGTAAGCATTAGTTGTAAGCCAAATCATACCAGCCTCTGAAGAAAGGACCCTCCTCTTCCACTCCTCTGTGAAGTGTTTCAGATATTCAGTAAAAATACAAAGTTTATGGTATAGGAGACCCTACTGTGCAGTATCAGGGACAACCATCCTTTCAGAAATGCAGCCTACTGACTCACAGAACACTATTGTGCTTCCAAAACCTTTTTAATTCAACTTTCTGACATACCATTTACTTTGTAACGAGAAAGCCAACATGCTCTCAGCAATCACAAGTTCTGTATGGCAGTGTCCATCTAACAGAAGGCACACTTTTACACATTACTGAAGTTCACAGCACAATACCCAGCCTCTAAAATAGAAAGCTTTGGGTAAAAATTACGTGGCCATGAAGGAATACTATCCAAATCAACAGGAACTCTAACAGGATGAAGCCTTTATTCCAGCATTTGTAATGTCTGCAGTATCAAAGCTTATGTTGGGGATTTTATTGAGGCTATTTGCCTGTATAAAGATTGCATCCCTAAGCATCTGTGACGTGCTACAATCAACTGCCACAACCATGATTTGTTTTTACAGCAAATTAGCATTACATAGCCAAGTACAATTATGTAGCCAGCTGGGCTTTTGCAAATTCCTTACCGTTGTAGGAACAGTCTTATTTGCTTCTTGATAGACATGTTGCTCTGAGACTAAACTGCTAGGGAAATAACCAACTGTCCCCATATGGTCTTCATACTGTTCTGCATAAACCTTCAAGCAAGGAGATATAGAATTAGGTACCTTTAAACAATCCTCATCTGGTTCAAGCTGGTTTATCATTTAGTCACCCAGTTGTGTTCTTACTCTGGTTTTACATCTCCTATGTTCCAATCAGCTGGCACATGAAACAAACCATTAACAGAAGTTCTGATCCAGGCACAAACCTTGAGCAAACTGATGATACTGCTTGTAGTTCACCTGGATCTTTTTTTTTTTTTTTTGCAAATGCAGTTATATTTATCTTTGCTTCCCTTAAGAGTTTTATGACCAATTGTGCTCAAGCTTTCTCCTCCAAAGTTTCAGTGAACAGCCACAGAAAAGAATTGTTAAGCCCTTCTGTTAAGATTCAGTCACCAATTACCAGAAAGCTATTGAAGATATTTCATTAAAAAAAAAAAAAGAAAAATATTACAGCCCTCAAGACTCCTCAACCAGTTTGCTTAAACTTTCACTTTTAAAACTAAGTTGTTGCTTTAAATCCCACAATAGCTTAGTGTTAGCATCCATTTTTTGACAGAAATGTGTGTTAATCTACTTCTAGCTCGTTCATATATACAAGAATCTCCTCTTACACTTCCAGCCCAGAATTCTCCAGAGTCTTTCTCTTTCACTAGTTTTGAGTAAACATAGATCAACTGCCCTTTTTTAATATTGATGAATCTGCAGTCTGAAGCATTATAATCCTCTTCTGCTCTGGCAAGGGAAATAGTGTCTAGGAAAGAAAAACACCAAAAGAATGAGATGGACATATTTAAATACGTGGATAATTTTAGAGAAATACAAATACATGTGGGCTTGTATGCACATAGGTAAAACTATTTCCACAGATAAAAGCAGGTTATCTTGAAATCAGTTGAAGTCTTAAAGAATTTGCTCTGCTTATTTTGCTATTTTACAGTAAACAAAGTAACAGCTTAAGATTGTGCCATTTCATCACAGTGAAAGTTACAATCCTTCTCTCTGCACTTAACTTTCACTTGAAAGAAAAATGTCCTTTACAAAACCCACTTTGCAGTAAAACTGCATGCGACATTCCACATCACCCTCCTACTCTCCTTTTAAAGCTGGCAAGCCAATGCAAATGTAACATAGCTGAGAAAGCAGAGTAGTTTTCACTTCTCTCTAACACGTCCAAACTCCACCGTTATTTTTGTGACTATTTTCTCCTCAAAATAAAAGCAGATTTACTTACAGACACAGTCATCATCAGCACACAGCTTCTTGCTGGAAAGCCTGTCCATAAAAATTCCAGTTGCAAGAGGACACATTAATCTGACACACAAAAGTAAAACCACCAAATGAACACGTTGTGTCATTTTTCTTTGCCGCAGCACTTGAGGAATGTGTGCCAGGTCTGATGATCCAAGGCTTTTATGGAAGAGGCAGACACCTGGACAAACACACTGGGCCAATGGGAAGGGGCTGGGGCGACATTCCACCCCACCAGAGGAGCTGCAGGCAGAGGGAAGATTTCAGGGTCCACTCACAAAACTGAATCCCCTCCCAAAGCCATTCTGCATTAACATTTCAATCATCAACTGTATTATTTAAAACTAAGCCTTCCTGGAGTTGCCTACAGCCATAAAATTACCTCAGGCAAAGTTTGAGAATGGAAATTAAGTCAGACCCTGTTAAGCAGCAAAGGAAATTACATCCTTCCAAATCCTCCTGTCCTTCATTTTCACAAATGCTCACTGACAAGCATGATCTTTGCTGGACTGTAAATCCTCAGTGGCAGACTCCTGTTTCCATCTACAGGAAGGACCTACTGGGACCCTAACAGATGGATGCGATGTAAGCAAACCATTAGGGAGTTGCAACATAGGAAAAAGGCTTTGCGAGCCAGCAATTCAAACTTGAAATTTAAGAGTTCAAGCACCACATTCTTGTGCAGGTAAGATCCCTTCCACGGGGAGGTGCAGTCACAGCAAAACACACAGGTCACATCAGGACAGCAACAATTTCCCCCTTTTTACACAGCTGAACTCAGCTGAGTTTGCAGATGCAAGACACTGAATGGTACCCAGACTGACTTAAAAGATCCTCTTTATGCCTTGGAGAGGACACCTGGAATTCATCTACCTTCCCCAAATCTTGTCCTAGCATACATGAAGCAAGACTTGTAGGGAGTATTTTAATTAAAACACACGTAGGCACGCACACACACAAACACACAAAACGAACACCCACCAGAGCTGCTGTGGGTGCTGCCCCCTAAGGAATTCACAGCACAGACTGTCAAGGCTGCAGAAGGCCGGTCTGGATCAGTCCTTAGATGTGACCAAAAGCAAGTCTGGAAATTCCTAAACAGCAGTCCAGAGAACCAGTGCTTCCCACTTCATGAAGAGCTGTTGGTTGTACCAGAACTGCAGAACCTGTAAACTGCCATCAAATATCCCACACAAGTGCATCTTGTAACTTCTAGCATCACCTTCTCCTCACAGCTGATTTCACCACATTCTCCTCCAGCCCTCTAGTCCATTACTCCTTCCGCCGAACTCCGATAGTTCGTGACGATCGCGTGTTCTTAGCGTGTTCGACATGACATGCCAAGGTCACGCTAAGCACAGGCGACCATCACACGTGTACTTAGCGTGATATTGGTGTGTTGTGTCAAACATGCTAAGCACAGGCGACTGTCACGCATGTGCTTGGTGTGACCTTGGCATGTCCTGTCCAACAAACGACCATCACGCGTGTGCTTAGCAAGACCTTGGCGTGTTGTGTCGAACACGCTAAGCACACATCAATGTCATGCTAAGAACAAATGACTGTCATGCGTGCTAAGCATGACCTTGCCATGTCGTGTCAAACACGCTAACATGCGACCGTCACGCATGTGCTTAGCGTGTGCTTAGTGTCACCTTGGCGTGTCGTGTCGAACACGCTAAGCACACACCAAGGTCACACTAAGCACACGCGACCATCACACGTTTAGCGTGTTCAACACGACACGCCGAGGTCACGTTAAGCGCACATGTGATGGTCGTGTGTTCTTAGTGTGACTTTGGCGTGTGCTTAGCATGTTTGACACGACACGCCAAGGTCTTGCTTAGAACACGTGATGTCACGTGACGGTAGCGTGTGCTTCGTGTGCCCTTGGCGTGTGCTTAGTGTCACATGCCAAGGTCACACTAAGAGTTCGCGACGGTCACGTGACAGTCCCGTGTTCTTAGGGTGACCTTGGTGTATTCTTAGCATGACCTTGGCATGTGCTTATCGTGTTCGACACGACACGTGACAGTCCTGTGAAGGTCACGTGTTCTTAGCATGACCTTAGTGTGTGCGTAGCGTGTTTGACTTGACATGCCAAGGTCACACTAAGAACACGCAACGGTTAGGTGACAGTCACATGTTATTAGCATGATCTTGGCGTGTTCTTAGCGTGTTCGACATGACATGCCAAGGTCACATGACGGTCGCGTGTCCTTAACGTGACCTTGGCGTGTGCTTAGTGTGTTCAACACAACACGTCAAGGTCACGCTAAGCACGCGTGTGACGGTCACATGTGCTTAGCATGTTCAACACGACACTTTTCTGGCAGACAGCTCCAGACCCTTGGAATATGGAAAGCAATGGCAGTCTCGTGTACACAGACTAGTGGGATGCAGTGGCAGGATAATTAATACCTATAGAACTATGACTGCAGAAGGGAACCCAAAAGGTTCATGATGGATTAACTGTCATTTTTGCTCCCTTACAGGCACATGGAAACAATTTTCACTTGCAAGTATTAGAACACTTGAGAAATCACATAAAATCACTAAGAAGAATGAAAAAAACCTGTATATGGAGACAGGACAGTAACTGAGATGATCGTGAAAGAGGTGTTATCTTGCAAGATATTCTGAGAACAGATGAAATTTCAATTTTTTAGGTCTGGTGCAGAAAAAAGTGGTTTATGTTGCCACATACAAAACACTACAACTTTATTGATTTTTTTTACCAAAATATTTAGAGCAGTTACAACTCACAATACTACATCTAATTACTTCGCTGCATCCAGTGTTAACTACACAAGACCTGTAAGGTTTTTAATAAATGAGAAAAAATAAAAGTAAAACAAACCTAACCAACCAGAGGCATTAGGAATAGGTATTTTTGAAAAGTCTGTCTAAAACCTAGAAACTTTTATGTGTCTTCTGGGGACTTGCTTCTACTGCCAGCCACCAAGACAAAACCAAGTTGAACAACAGTGGTGTCAAACTGCAATTTCCACCCATACCTGGGGAAAAACCCCACTAGTGGTAAGTCATTTTTCCTAAGTGACAAAATGATTCTTGCTGAAAAGCAGCGGTTGCCTTGATAACGAGGCTGAAGGTTGAGTGCTGTATTTTTTCTGAATATGCTGGCATTTAGCAGTCCTGATCGCACTTTGCGCTTTGGAAAGACAGCTATTTTTCAGCAGTCACTTCTGAGAAATGAATATCACCTTAAAGGTAGTTAAACTGAATAAAGCCCTGCAAGGTTAATCAATAATAAGACAGATCTGAGGAAAAAAACATGGCTTGAAAACAGCACATTTATTTTTTATTTTATAAAAATTAGTATTTCAACAGAAAAGGTTACTATCCCGTAGATCCACGGAAATCCTGCGTCTGTCCTGGTCATTGTGGCAATTCTGCACAAGTCTTATTTTTTTTTTTGCAGAGAACAGCAAACATGGCAGCTGATGAAAATAACTCCTTTACGGGAGCATCCAGCTATTTCTTTGCATAAGTGATCTTCATGGCATGAGATGGGGTTATCTTGAATCCCTGGAGAGCATCTCGAGCAGCTCCCGCTTGGTTCTCGTTTTCAAACTCCACGAACGCGATGTCGTGGCGCCCAGGCACTAAGCGGACTTCTTTGAACCCAGGAAACCTGTAAAATAAGGTGAGAGTCAAATCATGTTTCTTAGCTTGATAATACGTCTTTCTTCAGCAGCAGTAAGACCTTCTCAGAAGCATCTACTAGCACAATAGTTATCACTAATGAAAGATTTAAACTGAAGGGTTTTACATGTCCAGTCTTTAGAACTATGCCTCAATTAAGGATCATTAGGTGGAAGCAATTTAATCAGTCTTGTACTCATACAGGAGCAATCAAAGCTAGTTTTAAAACTGCCCCTGCAGTCCTAAAGTCTTCAAGATTACAATCACCAGCTTAAAGCCAGTGCAGACTGATAGTAGATAAATTACACAATCAAAACCAGCTATGAAAAAGATTGGATTTGCCTCCTGAACCAGGTCATCAGAACTGACATCTGCAAACTTGGCAATAAGACAAAGTACCTTCAGAAGAAACTCTTATTTCTAAAAAGTCAGTTTGCCAACTGAGAAAGCACACACAGGTAACAGAAGAATTCAAAGGACAAGCCATCTCTATTCAAAACTTACTGATTGAATAACATGGACAGCATCATCTCATTTGTTTCCTCAGGCAAGTTATTAAGGAAAAGGATATAGTTTGGTGGGTTATCAGGCACCTGCAACAACAGAAGATCAAAGCTCAGAAGATTACACACAGTTACCCATTCCACTGCATCTGTCTGCATGATTATTTGAACCAAGACACATGTCCTTAGCTTTGCTCATAGCATTTTATCTGGGCTTCACAAGACCCTCAGACAGAGCTCACTGGCTTTTGCAGTGATATATTAATTTGGAGAGGTTCTTATTTCCAGAAATTTTCATCCTTCCAGAAGAGCAGTGGGAAGTCAAGATGAATACTCTGTTCATCCACAGTACTACCAAAACGCTGAATATCTCTGGGCAACCAAAATCCACAAAACCCACATGGTTTTACTACAGTGCTCAATTCAAATTTACTAATTAGAAACCTCATCAGATTAAAAGCTTTAGTCTTTAACAGATTTGCCTACTGATATGAATTTGAAGCCACCCACCAGACACAAGGCTGAGTAGTCATTTGCTGACACTTCCTTCTCCTTATCTACTACTAGAACAAAATAAGTTAAAGGGAATTTATTAACAATGAAAAAATTATCAAGAATCCTTCAACTGATAGTAAACACAGTTCAAATTTAAGAATCCAGTATGATTTGATAATAGTGCTGCTTTCTGTATAATAAGAAATTGCAGACTCTAATTTCCTGTCAACCAGATAGAGTAAAAGGGGGATTTCTTTTGTTTGTCTGCTGTGATTTAGTTGTAAGACAAATGTCTCACAGGACAAAGAGAAAACTGTAGAATATACCCTCAAATTTACATGTGTAACAAACCTATTATTCATAGAGAATAATTTTAAACATTAGAGCTTTTAGTTACAAAAATAAAAAAGCATTACCTGATTCTGTGGTGCAGTCCCTGGGGCATTGGCTGAATTTGGTGTTGCTCCCTAGCAAATAAGAACAAAACAGCTTTAAAAAGGTGTTCTGTTAGAAATATATCAGCACACATCACCATGTTTCTGTACAAACCATGACACATGTTA